GGTTTCACCATGTTGGCCAGGCTGGTCTCGAACTCCTGACCTCAGGTGATCTGCCAGCCTCGGCCTTCCAAAGTGCTGGGATTACAGGTGTGAGTCACAGTGCCCAGCCTGAAAAATGATAAGATTTTTAAATGACCTCAACAGACCTCAACTTGTAGATTTACATTTCTACCTGAAATAGAAAAAACACACTGAGCCTTATCTTGCTTTGCTCCTGGTAAGTTTTCTCCATCTGGAATGACCTCTTTTTCTCTAATCTCCACTTGTCCACATTCTAAGTATTCATCCAAGCCCAGCTAAAAGCCAGCCCTCCACGTAGCTTCCCCTGACATCCCTACTCTGACCGCCTGCGGTACTTAACAGGAGCCCTTCTAAGATACATGTCACGTGCTTTGCTTTTATAGTTAACTGTGCTCAGTTCTTTCATGATAAAGACTGTGTCTTATACCTCTCTGTCCCCACCCCGTTATTGCAGCACTATTCACAATAGCAAAGACTTGGAATCAACCCAAATGTCCATCAGTGACAGATTGGATTAAGAAAATGTGGCACATATACACCACGGAATACTATGCAGCCATCAAAAAGGATGAGTTTGTGTCCTTTGTAGGGACATGGATGCAGCTGGAAACCATCATTCTTAGCAAACTATCACAAGAACAGAAAACCAGACACTGCATGTTCTCACTCATAGGTGGGAACTGAACAATGAGATCACTTGGACTCAGGAAGGGGAACATCACACACAGGGGCCTATCATGGGGAGGGGGGAGAGGGGAGGGATTGCATTGGGAGTTATACCTGATGTAAATGACGAGTTGATGGGTGCAGCACACCAACATGGCACAAGTATACATATGTAACAAACCTGCACGTTATGCACATGTACCCTACAACTTAAAGTATAATAATAATGAATAAATTAAAAAAAAAAAAAAAAGAAGTATTACCACTTAGAAGGAGGAAATTCAAGACGTTTATCTTATTTTACTATGGCATGAACCACTTAAAAAAAACTAAATAAAAATCCTATAACCTTTACCTCCAATCTTACTATCAAAATATTTACTTATTATATTATCAAGATGACTCCTAAGAATTATTATGACATAATTTTTAAGAGCGTTATTGAAAATATGTATAATCATCCTCTACATAATACATGCAGATGCATTTAATATAGATATTATTAACACAATTTAAATCAATAAAGGGTTTTTATTCTCTTTAAAAAAAAAAAAAAAAAAAAAAGAATGCAGAACAGTGCCTTATACACAGAAGGTGTCCAAATGCATAAATCCTAGGGCACCTGAACAAATCACATCTGAATAGTAAGAATTTAGCTTCGTTTTGTGATCCACATTCATGAGTACTATTTGCATCTATACCCTCCAGCTATAGTACTCATCAGTTTGACATTCAGCAGCACCTTCATTTCTTTTTGTACTGTGCTCATTTAAAAAGCTTTAAGGAGCTAAGTTTTCTCATCTAACAGCTGCTTTATGGAGATTTAAAGGCTTTTTATGGCTGTTCAGTAATGACAGAACTTTTACATTGTACACAGGAATCACCCGATGAATTTCACCTCCAATAAATAGAATCAATTTTACAAGGATCTGAGGAGTCCAGAAAGATATCAGAAGAATGGAGTACACATAGGGTTATCCTCAAAGAAACAAAAGTGCCTAAAACTTGTGTTTTCTTGGGAGGGTTACAGAATCAAGACTGTCAGACTACAGACTGGCAGAGCTGGAAGGAACTTTAGGGACCATCGAGTCCTACCTTCTTCAGAGAAAAACAATGCCTTTCAGTGGAATGAGTTAAATTTGGATTTGGTTAAATTAGTTAAAATATACACTGGGAGACTTAAAAACTTTTGAATATGGCATTATTGCATTGGTAATTAGTTTTAGGACACTGTGTCATACTGAAGGAGTTAATGCATTCCCCCAAAAGATCGAGGCCCCAAGATTATTTTACATGAATATTCTGACTTCCTAGAGCCATCAAGAAAAGTACATATTGCCTATCTCTGTGTGCCCTTGAGAGAGCGGGCATCCATAGACACCCAGGCTCATCATCTGGTGGGTGCAGTATTCTACCAAGCTTCCTAACTGATGAGGCTGCATCCATCATCAAACACTGATATTGCGGAATGAGATGAAAAAAATAGTAGTATAGGCTGGGTGCAGCGGTCCACGCCTGTAATCCCAGCAATTTGGGAGGCCGAGGCAGGCAGATCACTTGAGGCCAGGAGTTCAAGACCAGCCTGGTCAACACGGTGAAACCCCATCTCTACTAAAACTACAAAAAATTAGCCAGGCATGGTGGCATGTGCCTGTAATCCCAGCTACTCAGGAGGCTGAGGCATGAGAATCACTTGAACCTAGGAGGCAGAGGTTGCCATGAGCTGAGATGACATCACTGAACTCCAACCTGGGTGACAGAGACTCTGTCTCAAAAAAAAAAAAAAAAGTAATATAATTTTAAGAGACTAATATTTTGAAATGTACAAACCTACTAAACAATGGAAAAATAACTCCTCAAGTCTAAACCATGTATCTTTCTTGATTCATGGGCTTATGGTAGATTCCCAAAAAGTGGTGAAGGCAGTGTCACCTGGGAAGTAGACAGGAGAGGTCTTGGGAAGGAAGCCAGGCCCATGAGGGCAGCACTGCGGACAGCAGCCATGGGGCAGCAAGGGTTGTCCTGCACACCTCGGTCACAGGGCCCCTATCTGACCTTGGCAAAGGCCTTTGCCTCTCCAGGGCTCAGGTTCCTTTGTGGTTTCCCCTGTACAAATGACCCTTCTACATAAGATGAATACTGCAGACCCTTCTACATAAGATGAGCTACCTTAAGAGCGGTCCTGAGAATTATAAACAAGCAAAAGGTATCTGCAAAATGTCAAGTACTGCTGCACACACCATACAAGAAACAAGACAAGAGGGTATATAGACAAGAAGGGTATTGCCTGGAAAGCACAATGCGTCATTTACAGAATTCACAGCAATACACTGACCTCATCCTCCTTCTCCAATTATCTGGGGAAATTCACATGTTTTGCCTAAGCTCTTTGCTTCCTTATCTACTATTCTTTTTTCCCCAGTTTTATTTGTTCATTTTCTGATTAAAACAATCTAATGTACAGGTAAAAGCGGAGAGATCAATATTAACCCCCATGCATCTATCACCCAGACATATAACCACCAGCTAGTGATGGTTAGCCTTGTTTCATGTAGACCCCACCCACACCCCACCCCCTAACTCTGCAGGATCATTTTGAATTGAATCCCAAACATATATCGTTTCCTTTTTCATGGCTTTTAAAACATGTAAGTCATTTCTGTTTGTCATTTTATTTTCTTGATTCAACATCCCTGATGTAAATTATTTGTAATAATGAAACTGAGGCAACACTGGTGGTGCACTTGGGGCCAGAGAAAAATCTAGACACAAATGATTTAAATAAAAAAGGGACAGTACTGGCCGGGTGTGGAGGCTCATGCCTGTAATTCTAGCACTTTGGGAGGCCAAGGTGGGCAGATCACGAGGTCAGGAGTTCGAGACCATCCTGGCTAACATGGTGAAACCCCATCTCTACTAAAAATATATAAAAAATTAGTCGGATGTGGTGGTGGGCACTTGTAGTCCCAGCTACTCGGGACGCTGAGGCAGGAGAACAGCGTGAACCCAGGAGGCAGAGCTTGCAGTGAGCAGAGATCGTGCCATGGCACTCCAGCCTGGGCAACAGAGTGTGAAAAAAAAAAAAAAAGGGACAGTACCTCAAGGCAGAGGTAGGCTTGTAGGAGCCTGTTATTCCATTGCCATCAGCATGGCAGCACCCTGATGGTCAGCTGGGACTCTGACCAGGTTATGGGCTCAGGGAGGAGGGGGCATTTCTCTCCTTTCCCTGAACAGGTCTGTTCTCTCCTACCTCCAGGTCTCCCTCCCACTATTGAAAGCACAATCACTTCAGTGTCACACTCTCTCCCCTGCAAAGCCTTGCTTGGTCCCTCCAGTCAAAACACACCTTCCTTCTGCTTTGTTTCTACAGCACTTCATTACTCCAGCAGACAGTAGGTGCTCAATGAATGCTGGTACATAAAATGAATGGGAAATGGGGCTTACTTCATTCTGCCTTATATCTTAGTGGTTTTCACCTTTGTCTCCCCCACTATATTCTAAATTCCTCGGGGAAAAAGATATTGCATGTTAAATTAGCTCTGTATCCTACTCCTAATGCATTTATTTGTACACAGCAGGTGCTCAACAAATATCCCACTAATGAAGTAATGCACTATGAAAAGAGCTAACCTTGTCACATGGTTAGAGGATTAAGCTTCTGAAGAATGAGTTCACGTAAATTATGAGCATCCTAGGAAACAGACAATGTGTAGATATTTTTCCCACTGGTTTCCATTGGTTTCTTCCCTTAAGTAAGCAAATTTGGGCTTCTTATAATACATGAAAGAGAATCTGAGAGTGGTTTCCTCTGTCAAATGGCCCAACAACACCTGCCTCCAATACCATAATCCTGTTTTCCTCTCCTACCCGCTCCCAAGGTGAAGGCTGCACGACGTTACTGCTCGCAGGATGGAATTACAGGCCTGAATCGGAGACAAAGCTTCTTTTTGCTATGTCTGGTCATTAATTAGCTGCTGGAAACTTCAGGACAGGGCCATTAGCATGCTCATAAACCTTTTATTTTAAATGTTTTCGCTTAGCCTTGATTCTGATGTGACTCTCCTTGTAAGCTGGACGTAGGACATTTGTTTCTTAACATTTCTGAGGCTCATTAACTACTCGATCCCAGCGGCTCATTAACCAAGCCATTAGGGATTTCGCCTCATGCAGGCAGAAGCCTCCACTTGCCCTCACAGAGCCTTGGAGGGCGCCTAATTGGGAATGGTGCGAGGCTGGCTGCAAGCATCACAGGGGAGAGTGGGGCTTTGTCAGGTCTCCACGATGCTGGAGCAGCGAGAGGGGAGCTCACTCACCTGCTATTCTCCCAATGGGCATGGCGTGCTCTTCAGGGGGGGAGACAGAGACCATGATGTGGTTCATGTAAGCCAGGTCTTCCCGATGAGAGAGGTTGATGGGTTTCCCTTCTCTATGCAGCCCGTCCTCGGAGAGCCTGGATTGTTTGAAATCCACGGAGTGCCGGGGGTTCAGGATCAGAGGGTGCATGATGGGGCTGGGCATCAGCTGGATCACGCGTGTGCTCTCCTGCCGGGGGCTGGATGGCTTCGGGTGGGACTCAGAGGACGCTGGGCAGTGATTATTCTCCATGGGAGACACTGACAGGGGGTAGGACTCCTGGTGGTTGTTCTCCTGGTGCGGCCTGGGTCCCTGAGCTCTCTCAGCTGGGGAGAGTCGGCGGATCATGTTGTCCAGGGGGGACCGGAGGGGCCGCTGCTCGGGGTCAGGAGAAGGCCGGTGATTTGTCGTGATGGGTGACCTGGAGCGGTGCAACAGTTCAATGGTGGGAGGGTTGTGGTGCACATTATCCACGGATGGCCTGGGGGTCCTCTGGACACAGTTATCTGTGGAGCAGAGGGAAAGGCAATCACGGTGAGTTGGCAGGACAGGAACCTCCCCGTGGCTCTACAGGCGGTAAATGGAGGAGCGTGTAGGTATGTGTAAAGAACTTTTCTCCCCAGAATGCAGTGTCTTTTTCACCGCTTAACAATGTAAAGTGTGCATACTGAAACTATTTTTCTATTGCCAGGCAACCTAAGGATGTCTACAAGCATTCCGTTAATCGCCTACCTGTGGCCTGTAAGCACAAGGAAGCCAAACGTCCATGCCTCATCTTTTGGTCATCATTTAACTCTTCTACATCGCTTTCAGAGGGGGAAGCGTTCTTAGGGGTTTCTCTCTAGATGCTTTCATTGACTTACATTTTCACAACTAAAATTTTCATATTCTCTACCTCTAGGAGTTATTAGTATTAGTGATAATATCATATTAGTAATAATTATTAGTAATAACTATATCTTAGATGCTGGATTTCACTGTTTAAAACTTAACAGCACTCCTGGCTGGGTGCAGTGGCTCCCACCTGTAATCCCAGTTACTCGGGAGGCTGAGGCATGAGAATCACTTGAACCCAGGAGGTGGAGGTTGCAGTGAGCCAAGATCACACCACTGCACTCCAGCCTGGGTGACAGAGCAAAACTTTGTCTCAAAAAAAAAGAAAGAAAGAAAAAGAAAAAAAACCCCAACCTTATAGCACTCCTAACCAGGAGATACCACTAGTACCCCTGTTTTACAGACGATAAAACTGAGGCATAAAGAAGTTAAGCAACTTACCCAAGGCCACACAATCTCCTAACAGTCAGTTAGGAGATTAGAACCAGACTCCAGTCAGATTTTAGAACCTGTGTACTCATGACAACATCTGTCACTGCAACATAGAAACTACGACGCAAAGTCACCAAAAACTGCTCTAAGCATGCACAGTGGCCCCAATTTACAGAATGACAATCTTACTGAACTTGAAAGAACTTTTGGGAGCACTTTGCTTCTGAGTGCACAGACCCTACAAGTGCTCAGAGACAGGCAGAGGTAAGGAAGAAGCAGGATGAATGGACACCTCTAACAATACCTCTAACCCGTCCCACTCGAAGTTGCACGTGTGTGCGAGGATAACATCAGAAGTGTACACAGCTCAGCAACAGAAGTAGCTCTGAGGGCTGGGTTGGGGAATGGACCAGCACACACCTGGCTCCAGAAGTCCCTGCTAAGGTACAGAAGGACAGAATCTACCCATAAAAATGGAGATTTCTACATGGCTGCTCACCCAACTCAATGAACTCTCTCTGGCCACATCTTTTCCCAGGGCAGTCTCACCAAAAGGATGTGCATGCTTGCCGTCCTTGTTCTGGTCAAAGAATTGTCCACAGTTCTAAGTAAAGCAAGTCAAACATATCACCTTTGTCCATTAAGATAATATATATATAAAGAACACATAAAGGGAATTCAGTAATTTGATAGGGTCAGTAAACAGAGACAGACATGGTGGTTTTAAGTTTTACACAGGGTTAAGAAGAAAATGGGGACTTTTTTCTTTTTTGAAAGTTCTACTAGATCTCATCTATCATATGAAACACTGAACAAAAATATTGTTCATAATATTAAAAGATCATCTCCTTGAAAGCAAAGGGCTTATTTTGTGACTGCTGTATAACCTACTGCCGTTAAGTTCAAAAGTGCCTCATCATTGGAATAGCTATCAATAGGAGACTGATTTAATAAATTATAGTATATATCTCTAAACAATGGAGTACTATGTAAATGTAAAAAGGAATGAGGAGTATCTCAATATTTTGCTAAGGACTAGCATCCAGAATCTATGGTTAGATACGAAAAGCAAGATGAAGCATTTATGATCTGCCACCACTTATCTAAACAAGGAAAGGGGGAGTTTCAGTTTCAACAACAGTAGAGTGGCTTGTACCAAAGGAACCGTCCTACGGATAGAAATGAAAGAAACTGTATTAAATACATTGAAAAAACTATTTGAAGGTGTCAAGGGCAGACAAAAACCGGGATTTCACTCTTGAAAGAAGGGACCTGCACAGAGTGAGGTCCATGTTTAAACAGCTTTTTCCCTGGTTCCGCTGATCTCCTAACTGCCCTATGCTGCATGCTCCTCCCCAGTCTGTGCCGCACAGGGCAGTTAGAAGATAAACAGAAAGTTGCTTGAGATAAAGTAGGTAGTTGCCAGAATGGCAGAAAATTGAAGAAACAAATCCCATACAGTGGGAGCCTCAGAGGGGAGAGTGATTAAATGTAAAAGTTTCCTCAAATTCTTGTCTGACTACTGAATAGCCCAAGTGCCAAGGAGACCCTTTGGAGTTCAGTGAAAAGCAACAGTTGTATAATCAAAAGATATGAGCAGAAATCTCAACTACTGGCTACTGCAGTGGAGACAGAGTTCAGAGTTTGAGTCTCATCAAGTTTGAAGGCTCTGCAAACACTTCAGGCTGTTTGTTACCCCCGAATGACCACAATGTAGGAGTAAAAACCCTAGGACAAGGGGATCTGGCTAAGGGCAAAAGGCAAAACAGAAACAGATTGGACCTAATGAAACGTAAGACCATGCTTCTGCAGATTCAAAGTCACTGGCCAGTAATTTGATTGCCTGCTAGAACAAAAGTCAACGCTCTTCAGTGGAACAGAACACAATCCAGTGTCTCAACGTGCTCAGCACCCAGTCACAATTTTCTAGATATGAGAAGAAATACAAACATGCTACTCATAATAAGGAGGCAAGGCCATCAACAGAAACAGAACTTGAGATAATGCAGATGTTGGAATTAGCACAAACAAACAAACAGAAAAACTTTACAGCAGCTATTATAAATAAGTTCAAGCCCTAAAAGAAAATGATGGTTGTAATAAATGATGACACATAGAGCCTGCCAAAAGGGAAATGGAATTAAAAAAAAGACAAAATAAAGATTCTATAACTGAAAAGTATAATATCTGAAATGAAAGACTGGACTAGATGGACTTAATAGCAGAATGGAGATGAGAGAAGAAAGGGTTAGAAAATTTGAAGACAGATCAGTAAAAATGAAATCCAAACAAAACAAATCCTCAGTGACCTGTGGAACAATATCACATGGTCTAACACACATGTAATTGGTGTCCAAGAAGGAGAATACAGAAAGAAACAGGGTAGAATCAATTAAAAAATAATGGCTAGATTGTCCTCAAATTTGGTAACAACATTATCAACAACAGTCAATTCAAAGATCCAAGAATCTCAAGTAAGATATGTAAAATAAAAACCACACCCAGGTACACCACAGTCAAACTGCTGAAAACCAAAAATAGAGAAAATCTCGAAAGCAACAAGAGGAAAAAAAGAAACTATGTACAGGGGGAGATTATACTAATATACTATATATGTATAGTATGATAGTATATATGATATATGGTATATAACTAATACTATATAAGTATATACTTATACAGTATATATGTATACACTAATATTTACAATATATTATATATATGAATATACTAATTATGATTGACCTCTTTAAAAAAACCTGAAGAGAGGGACTGCTCAAACACACACACAAGAAGGATATAGATGGGAACCTATAGATTGAAAAAGACTTTAAGAGATACATTAACCATTTGCAATGTATAGATGTTGTTTGGATTCTGATACAAACTGTAAAAATCATTTTTTTTTTTTTTGAGATGGAGTTTCGCTTTTGTTGTCCAGGCTGGAGTGCAATGGAGCCATCTAGGCTCACTGCAACCTCTGCCTCCCGGAATTCAGGTGATTCTCCTGCCTCAGCCTTCCTGAGCAGCTGGGATTACAGGCATGCGCTACCACGCCCAGCCAATTTTGTATTTTTAGTAGAGACGGGGTTTCTGCATGTTGGTCAGGCTGGTCTCGAACTTTAGACCTCAGATGATCCACCCACCTTGGCCTCCCAAAGTGCTGGGATTATAGGCGTGAGCCACCATGCCTGGCTGTAAAAAACATTCATGAGAAAAAAGTGGCAAAAAGTGAACACTAGTAGATTATTTGATGATACCAAGGAACTACTAGTTTTCAAGTGATATGATGGTTCTGTGATTAATTTTATAGAGTCTTTTTTTTGAGACCTATGTTGATACCAGGTCTTTGACTTGTTCTGGTCAAAGAGCAAGCACTTTTTTTTTTTTTTTTTGAGACAGAGTCTCGCTCTGTTGCCCAGGCTGGAGTGCAGTGGCGCGATCTTGGCTCACTGCAAGCTCCGCCTCCCGGGTTCACACCGTTCTCCTGCCTCAGCCTCCTGAGTAGCTGGGACTACTGGCACCTGCCACCACGCCTGGCTAATTTTTTGCATTTTTAATAGAGATGGGGTTTCACTGTGTTAGCCAGGATGGTCTCGATCTCCTGACCTTGTGATCCACCTGCCTCGGACTCCCAAAGTGCTGGGATTACAGGTGTGAGCCACCGCACCCGGCCTGTTGATACTATTTACAAGGGAAATTATATATCTGGGATTTGCTATAAAATAATCTGGGATGGTGAAGGAGAGAGGAAGTAGACCACAGGGGAAAACAAGATTGGCCTTGAGTTGACCATCAAAACTGGTGATGGGTACATGGTGATTCATTATACAATTCTCTTTACTTTTGTATAGGTTTGATATTTCCTGTTATAAAAAGCTTTTTTTTTTTTTTTTTTAAAGTGCTTAATTAACCTTGCAAGGATATAGGTTGGGATGACAAGCACTAACTTCCTCACTTTAACCCAAATGCATATAAATGCTTACCAGGCACTGACTAAAATGATCTGTAATCTTCTGGAGATAAGGCAAACTTTCCTTTTATAGATAATATGGATCTCAATTCTGCTGCCCATAGAAATGTATTTATCTTTTGTCCATGGTTCACTTTTCATTTGTCACAGAGTATGATCACTGTAAACAACTGAAGACAGTTCCAGTTTGAACTTTCCTATATTTTCTTCTAAATGCCATTTACAGAATGTCTTTCTTTACTTAAAAGCTTATTAAGGTTTAAAATA